TGACTCGCTCTTTATAAACGTTACCAGCACTAAAAGGTTTCCAACGAAAGCGGCAAATCCCGATACGCCATTTAAGACTCCCAGAAATATGGCCGAAAAGGAAGATATTTCTCCCGTGCAGTCATTTGCCACGACCATAGCTGTAACGATTGCTTAACTCACCTTAACCAGTGCACTGCCGAGTCTATCAACCGCGACTGACTATTCAGTGATGATAGCCTTGAAACGTACTGAATCGTTTATCTTTTACGTCGATTGTTTTCTTTATACAGTAGAGTGCCAGTTGCGCGCAATCAACTAGAGTGTTTTCCCTCAAGATAAGATACTCATAAACCAATGTGAACTTGCAAATCTAGTAATTATCCAAAGGCTAAGCAGGTGCACAGGTGCATAGGTTTATGAGTTTTAATTTGGNTTGACGCTAGAGATACCATCAGATAGTAACACGGCTGTCGAAGTGACTCGCTCTTTATAAACGTTACTAGCACAAAAAGGTTTCCAACGAAAGCGGCAAATCCCGATACGCCATTTAAGACTCCCAGAAATATGGCCGAAAAGGAAGATATTTCTCCCGTGCAGTCATTTGCCACGGCCATAGCTGTAACGATTGCTTAACTCACCTTAACCAGTGCACTGCTGAGTCTATCAACCGCGACTGACTATTTAGTGATGATAGCCTTGAAACGTACTGAATCGTTTATCTTTTACGTCGATTGTTTTCTTTATACAGTAGAGTGCCAGTTGCGCGCAATCAACTAGAGTGTTTTCCCTCAAGATAAGATACTCATAAACCAATGTGAACTTGCAAATCTAGTAATTATCCAAAGGCTAAGCAGGTGCACAGGTGCATAGGTTTATGAGTTTTAATTTGGATTCATTTGAACAGTGGTGTTGGGTTGCTCAGTGCCTGAGTCATATCGCCCCAATACATCATCCTGAGTTTGCAATAATTGTAATCAAAACTAAAAACCAGTGATAGCTTCCTTTTTGTCAAACAGCGTACATAACTATTGGGTCCTCATGCAATATCTTAAATCATTAGTTAGAAATATTGCTTTCATTTAGCTAGTGTCAATGGAAGTTTATGTCAGCTTTAGATGGTGAGTTTTCTTTTTTGTAAAAGAAAAGTAAAAAAGCGTCGTTTTATGAACAGCTTGTTTGCTGGGCGGTATTAAAACCATCCGGAAAGGGCACTTCTTTAAAGAAATTCACTGCACTGAAACAAGCTTAGCCTTTAACTAGTAGCTAAAGCCGGGAGGTAAAAACGCAAAGTTATAATGTATGTTTTAATTATCCAAACAGTAACTTACTGTTAACCGGAATTTTCTTTGAAAGACAATTCCGGTAGACATTTGCAATCATTATTGAGACAAATTTCACAATTATTTTTGTAAATCTTAATATATTCAATTTCCGATGTCCTCTATAACTGCGTCTTTAAATACGTTGTTGCCGGTGTTCTTGCTTTAACACTGATGCTTCTAATTACACAGTTTAATACACGACCAAAAAAAGTACCCAAACTGGCTGATTTTTTGTGAATTGTAAGAATAACTGCAAGTCCCAAATTGACGTACAGCTCAGTTTGACGAGCAGTAAAAATTGTAGTAATTATTTTTAGGGTGAGAATAATTGAATGTGCCTGGTTATTTGTATGATAATTTTGAATTCCAATTTTAAATTGTGCTTTCCAATATTGTGGAGACCATGCCATTCGCCCTGAGCCACTACACTGTCACGGCTCGTACTAAGTTATACGGCGTTTAGTTCTAGTTTATCGCTGTAACTGAGGGTGAAAAGTATGACGGGAGCTCTTCTTAGCCGGAGATACGTAGGATGCCCCGATACTAGAGAAGTGTTCGTTTCAAGAAATAAGGCCGTATTTACTTAACTTCGACGTTGAAAGTCAGTAATATTTACAAAATTTTATGAATTCTGCTAGCTTCTTTCCATTTCTTGCGCAATGAACTCTGAAACTGTAATATTTTCTATGCATTGGATGATTCTAGATTAATTATTTAAAGTCATCTAAATCGATTCTACCTGTTCTTGAGTGAATGTGATCTACCAAAAAATCTTAATAATAAATGCTTAGATATTATTGTTACAGAAGCCATGCCAACCTTTGTGATTTTAGGTCAGTCAAGAGTCGTTTAATCAGCTTTACCAAAACTTGATTCTGTTTCAGTCTCTCGGACATTATCACAACGTACTAAAACGGGCGGGTGATTTAGAAGCTTGGAAAGGCAAATTGTATCATTTGGATAAACTGTATTTTTGTTATCGTTGTTGTTGCTTGGCAACTCACATTTTATTTACTACTTTCTGTGTACAGCTGGGTATAACTTTAAACTGAACTTTGAAGGGGGTTAGGAATGTCTTTTTTGTACATTTCTCAGTCGTCGTTGCACGACTACAACGTGAATCTGCCTAATTTCACGTTTTGTCGAGGACGGGAACAAAAGACAATAACTTTCTTTTTCTCTTCCTGAACTTTGATGCAGTCCTTTAGAACTCAACTCCAAAAAACTCTACCAACATTTGACGAATTAAACGCCGAGATGGAATAAGCGCGATAAAGTTTCAGCCAGCGCAAATTCACGTCGCAGTCGTCGTTGCGTCAACTCCCTAATAATAATATGATGTAAAGAGTTATGAAAGTTACATAATCTTTTGAATAATCGTAATTTTAAAGAACAGGCCGAAGATAGCACCTAATTACAGTTTATCTCCTCGGAGCTCTAACAGGATATGATCCCAGTTCCATCTTCCACGTTCCAATTTCACCTTTACGATACCGCGAAAGACTGGTATCGCCCCTTAGTTATGCTCGGGGCGCCCCTCCTTCTTTCTCTTCTCCTTCAGCAAGGTAAGATGGCGGACATAATTTCCCACAAACCACGTGTATTCAACCAAAAGTGCATCTTTACACATCATTAAACAGCTTTTCACTACTTGTTTGTGTGCTTACCAGTAACGTGTGTATTTTTCGATGCTAGATGCCCGGTGGTGTGACAGTAAAAGACGTTTGTCCTCACGAATTTATCAAAGCTTTGGCGGCCCATTTGAAAAAGTGAGTAGTGTAGTTCCTATCGCTGAACTTTTGCCGTTGAAATTCTTTTATGTAACGCTCATATGATACGCCTTTGCTATTTTGGAAATTTAGTGTAGGGAAAGACTCTTTCTGAAGGTATTTGCCTACTTCATGTTTGGCTAAATTGCTCTACTTTTTACTCTGTTTGTTGATTTGGAGGTTAATTTGTTTTGTTCATGATCAGGGGTTGCTTATATCCCCGCTTACATCAGATATATGATTTTATTAAAAAACCACTAGCGTTCTAGAGATCATAGTTAATGGCAACAAACGAAACTGAAATGTCCACATTAATGTTTTATAAATAAAAATTTAGTTGATCAAACCATACTGAAGTCATGCAAATCTCCAATCAACTCTCGACATACATGTTTGTGATGCAGGGCTGTCAACCACCAACGTCTTCAAATGTTTAGGATTGATAGGGAAGGGATGATAGATGACATCATAACACATGGGGCTTGACTTCATTTGTACAAAAAATACCCATTGACTGCCGTCGTAATGAATTTGCAATGACACAAAACACCTGAAAAAGATGTTGTTGGCATTGTAACATTTGACCTGATTGCTTTATTACCCACCAATCACGTTATTATATTACAAAGGCATACTGGAGTTTATGAGGAAACACCTCATGTTAACTACACAAAATACTTGAAATTTTATCGTCGGAAAGTTACGGCTACTGAAGAAATGGCAAACTTTGGCAGTTGCCCAGGAGATTTCAGACTCTAATATGGACACTGGGAGATCTTTGTGTAAAGACAAAAAAGTGCTCGTAAGCTTAAGGTTCTTTATTACACTCAATCACTTAAGAGACTTACACAGTGGGCAGTTCTAACTGTTAAGCCTGTGAAGGTTGCTGTGAGGTGGCTATTTAGGTTAGATATGTACATGTACACAGGAATCTATCTGAACCCAATCCTCTGCCTTCTTTGTCTTGATTTTCACTACAATTTCTACTTAAACTGCTTCCCCCTCTTGGCTACAGTGCAGCTCTAAAGCCCTCTTTATGAGTTCTTAAACTCATCAAGACAGATGAGTGTGGTGAAAAGGTGCCTTTGAGGCTTTTGGACCTATGAACTGTGGCTGGGTGCATTGCATAACCTTGACAACCCTGAGTGACATCCACCCAGGCACTGTCACACTACTTATCAGTAGCCTGCGAAAATGGTCGTTTCTCCTTGCTCCTCGCCCCTGGGGACATTTCGCGAGGAGAAATGTGTGCTACTCAGCTACAGAATTTCTGTACTGATGACATAAATCAGTGTTTACACAAAAAATCTGGTAGTCATGGGGTTCCAAATGCAGATTTGTTCAATTTTGGTTAAGTGATGAGTTCATCTGCGAACGAGCTCCAGCAAAACTTAAATGCTTCTTTTAGAGAAGAATATATTCCACAGATATTGACTTATTTGTTACAGTTTCATCGCGTTTAAATTTGACCTTTGTGGCCTTTTGTCTTTTGTCTGTCATTCGTACACAATATCTAAAACAATGTAACTTGAAGAGCGAGGAGAAACGACTGTTTTTGCAGGCTAGCATATCAGTGGAACCTAACGTACTTAACACATAGTTTATAGGGGAGGGGGGGAAGGGTAGAGAACAGAAAAACACTTTGCAAATACAAGCCATGATAGGCAATGACACATGAACATAATGGCCTGACCGTAAGAGAAAGGCTGTAAAATAAACCTGTATGCCCTTGCGACACCATTAGGGTACCCAGCCCAACATATCTCCTATGAGAGACTGCTGGCCAGCCATGTCTCAATTTAAACTTAGCCTAAGTTAGTTTTATTTAGCCACATTTAAAACTGCTGTGTATACATTAGATTAATTTTAAGCTCAAGCATAATCCTTGTGGTCATACATTAGTAACTACTTATTCACAGTCTGAATAATGTTTGTGACTAGGGGTGGAAAGCTGAAAGTACCAGAATGGGTTGACCTGGTGAAAACTGCGAAAAGCAAAGAACTTGCTCCTTATGATCCTGACTGGTATTTTATCCGAGCAGGTGAGCAGAAGTTAATAGCAAATGGTTTTGTTGAGTGATATTGCATTTGTTAGCTCGTAAGAAGAAACAGTGCTATACACTAATTTCTATTTTACTGGAATTTGTCAATCCCTCACTGGAGGGGGAAAA